TGTGTGTGTGTGAGAGAGAAAATCGGTGTGTTTCTGTAAAACAGGATTGTGCAAGTGTGTATTTGGTTGTGAGTCAGACCTGCTGCCTGTGTGTGTGTGCAGCTCGTCAGCTCTAATTAAGCTCGGCCTCTTAACGAGCAGACAGCTAATTAACACACTAAGAGAAGCACACACACATTTGTCCTTCATCACACGCTCTGGTTTCTTCATCGTTTTTGTTGCTATCTTTCTTCTGTCCTTCTTTATTCCCTACCTTTGCACCCTTAAATCCTTATATCTTCCTTTTTTGTGTGGTTTACTCTTTATTTAACTTTTGTCCCTGCCTCCTCATTCATTTCCTTGAATCTTTCCACTTACTTCCCTCCTGTTTTCATTCCTTTTCTTTTCTCTATATTTTTGTGTTTTTCTTCACTTGTTCCCTTCCTTTGTTCGTTCCTGTTTTATTTCCCTTTCTTTCTCCTCACTTCCTTTCCTTACCTTGAACTCCCCTCAGATCTTATTTCTCGTCTGTTCTGTGATTTTAATTGTCGCTTTTGTAATTTTCCATTTTCTTTCCTTCTCTTTTTCTCTCATCTAATTTTTTCCCCCTTCTCATTTTCTCCTTTTTTTTATCCCCGTTTCCTCCCCCTCTCTCTTTCCCCTCTCCCACTTTTACCCCCCTCTTCCTCCTCTTCCTCTGTGGTGTTTTTCTGGGTCAGACAGAGGGAGGGAGGCGGGAAGGTTTGGGGAGATTTGGGGAATCTTATTTTAGTCGCTCCACATTTTCGAGCAGTGTGTCTCCTCATCAGCCCTCTGCTGTATTTAACTTTACATGCTCACCATCATCATCACCATCATCATCATCATCATCTCTATTCAGTGAAATCTAATCCCATTATTCGCTTTTATATCTGTAAAATGGCAGCTTTTTTTTTTTTTACATGGTGCTATGAAACAGTTCAACACTTTGCATTAAGTGTGAGCCACCCTCACAGTTGCCGGGCAGATTTCTGTGGATATTCAAAGTCACCAGAGCATGAAGCCCAATGAAAAAAATCTTTGTGCATTTGAATCTGTGAATTTCCAGTTGAAGTTCTAAACAATAGGAAAAATATAAAAAAATAAAAAGACAGATTTTTATTTCACGCGTTCGGTATATGGAAAATATTTGGAACTGATGAAACTGCAAATTTCTAGTTGAAGTTTAGCTTTAGATTATAGATTTTCCAATAAATTATAGAAATAATATTTCTTTAAAGGAAAAAATGATTAAATTAGGTTGGTAATTGACGTTGTTTTGGATTTAAAAGCATCTCCACTTTAATTCTGTAATTAAGAGTTAACTCGGATTTTCAGTGGAAGTTCTGACTTCATTGTTCTTGTTAAAAAAAACTGTATCTCTGCTACAAAATAGCAAAGAAGGTAAATCATTAGATTCATTGTTGGATTTTCAATAGAAAGACTTGTGGGTGTTAAACTGGCGGATTTTCAAAGCGAGTCTGACTTTTTTAAATGAAGAAAATCATCTTTGTATGGCAGACCTAATTAAAAGTTAAATTAGCGTATTTCAAATGGAGGCTCTGGTTTTTCACTAGATAAAGAAAAATAAATTTTCTGCATAATAAAAATCTCTGTGTTATTGGAGGAGATTCCAACGGAGGTTTTGACATAATTTTCTTTGAAAATTGAAAATAAAAGTTTCCGTTTGCTCCTTCCTGAGTGATTTTCCAGTTTGTTAGCGTTTCTTATTGTTTTTACAGGTAGGTTTTTTTAATGATCGTCATTCCTTTTGTGTTCGTTTCAGATCCGCGTGGATGGGATCCCGCCGCCGGCCGAGAACGCTTTGCTGTATGAGACAGTGACTGTGGTGGAGGGCAAGCCGATCCTGAGAGACATGGTGTTCAGTCCTGACCATCAGTACATCTACCTGCTCAGTGACAGACAGGTAAATACACCTGCTGAGCCCTTACACGATCAGTCAGAGAAACGGTCACGAGACTCTTCTCCGTTCGTTTGTCCCTTTTATTTTACAGCCCAAAAAACACAAAGCTGGCGTGATGGTGACGCACCAGATCGGCTTGTTTGGGTCACTGTGAACATTTCATATTAAATGTTTATACAGAGATTTCGTTGTGACGCTCTGACATGATTAATGTTTTTGCCCTGCATCGCATTTTTATGGGTTAATCTAAGAACATTTGTGCTCGAAAGAATTTGATCAGCAGATTTATAACTGACCTGCATTTTAACAGATAAGGAAATCAAAAAGTCCTGACTTAGATTCTCCCTGATTCAGAAAAATAAAATCCTGCACAGAAGAACGACGTCTGAGGGTTAAATTAGCAGATCTGTAATGGACGTTCTGCTGGACAGAACTGTGAAGATTTCCCGTAAATGATTTTAGTGAACTTTTACTCACCCAGAGAAATGTATCCTTGTATAATAGAATTACTAAATAACCTAAAGAAAATGAAAATAACAAGCTAGATCAGAACATTTCCAACTGCATTAAGACTTTTAATCATTTAGTTGTCTTCTAATCAGTCATGAAAACAAAGAAAAGCTTGATATAGATGAGATGAGGAAAAGCAAATCTGTGTAAATGGAACAAAATCAGCAGATTTCCAGAGGAAGTTCTGATAAATATAAAAAATAAAATGCTCTACAGAAGAAGCCGTTTTGTTTCATGTTCAATCATCAGATTTTCAATGGAAGTTCTGCATCGAGGTTTTCAGTAGCCAATGAAAAGAAAGAAAAGGTCTGTACACAATAAAGACTCATGAGTTGGTTTTCAGTTCGTCAATTTTAGTTCCAGTCATTAATTGGGGGGGAAAACATGTTCTATATAGAAGAAAGCTTCTGAGTGTAAAATCAGCAGATTCCTAATGGAAGCTTTCCAGCAGCTAATGAAAAGCAGGGAAAGTTCTGCACAGAACTCATGAGGATTAAGTGGGCAGATTTCCAACGGACTATTTGGCTTAAATTTCTTGTAATGCAACTTCTAGCGTAGGTTTTTCAAAAGTTGCAGAGAACAAAGTCCTGCAGAGAAGAAAGCCTTATGAGCATTAGATCAGCACATTCCCAATGGAAGTTCTGCATTAGGGCTTCCAGCAGCTGATGTAAAAAAGGAAAGATTCTGCACATTTCTGTCTTTTTGATAAGAAAATGAGCCCAAAAAATACACAGCAGGTCAGTTTATCAGAGGAGCTGCAGTCATTTACAGGGGAGGTTACGTGTGTGTGTGTGTGTGTGTGTGTGTGTGTGGGGGGTTGCCAGAAAGAGAAATATGAATTGTGTTGTTTTAACATCTGCAGACAGGAAGCTGAGAATATGAATATTGCTCAGCTGGCGCCACCACACACACTGTGTTTCTGAGGGTGTGTGTGTGATGCATGTGTCAGAAGTGGTGTGGTAGTGTGTAGTGTAGTGCTGTCCCAATGTTAAAAACTGCTCTGTACCCACTGAGACGACAGAGACGAGTTCAACAACTGTTAGTTCCTGTGCAGCTGAGGGGGAGACACACACACACACACACACACACACACACACACACACACACAAATGTTCGTCTTTGTCCATTTTCGAGCTGTGATGTCAGTAAACGACTGTCAGAACGTCCCAGCTCCTGCAGGACCTGAGCTCCTCTCCATCATGATGAACACAGACAAATATTAAATGATGTAGCTCTGGAGTCAAAGAGAAGTTTTTCACACAATACCTAATACAATATGAAATAATCACTTCAGTCAAGGCATTTAAAGACGTACATCTAAAAAACTCTGGAAAAAAAACTCTGGAAAAAAAACTCTGGAAGTTCTAAATCATTGAACTAAAAATCTATTTTAAAAAAATTCAATCAGGGTCTGATTTAATATATTTTGATTAAGAGAAACAGAAAAGTTATAGGAAACAATTCAATAAGCTGATTTCCATTAAAAATTTGTTTTTTACAGAGACACATTTGTTAAGTTGCTGATATGTTCAGAATCAGTACATTTTTAAATGCAAAGATGAATAATTTCTGTGACAGAGCAGTCGATACTGTAAATGAGCAGTTTTCAATAAATAAAGATATCAAAGACAAAAATATCACTGTTAAATAAGCTGGTTCTTAAAAGGGATTTCTGACATGATGTTTTTTGATGAAAGAATAATCTGGTGATAAACAGCCAAACAACAAATTGATTATTTATCTAGTCCATGATTTCCAAAGCATGGACCATGAAATGCCCATCCATCCTCTTCCACTTACCGGATTCAGGGTCATAAGTCAGTGGCGGGATACAACCCCAGTTTGTTGCATGCTTCAACAGAGAGACAGACGACTGAGTTTAGACTCCGGGCAATCTGACATGTGCGTCTTTGGTCTGTGGGAGGAAGTCAGCGAGAGCGCACACGGGAAAAACGTGCAGACCGTTTTGGATCAGGAAAGAATAAAGGAGTAAAGAACGAACCTCAACATACAAATCATCAGAACTTTAAAAAGAATCAGTGAAAAGAAAAACGTGCGACATCACCACAGTCCTGTTTCCATTTATACTGGTGCTTGAAACACACCAGATTGGCTACAGTCTGCTGTGTTATCTGGTTGTTAACGTATGAACCCTGCTACCGCAGCTAATGACGTCAGACTTAAAATGCGGATTGTCTGGAAAAGGAGAAATGCTCAGTTCATCATGTGAGGTCCCTCAGCAGCCTCGGCCTATAGGAGTGTGAGATCAGACTCACCTGATCCAATCATAACTAAATGCTTTATCAAGATAGAAAGTTAAAAGACTGATCTAGAATCAGTAGAGAGGCAGTCTGACTGCTGAATCCAAGCTGGTTCCACAGAGGAGAGACCTGAAGGCCGAAGGCTCTGCCTCCTATTCTACTTTTAGATATCCTGGGAACCACAAGTACGCCCGCAGCCTGAGAGCAAACTGCCCTACTGGAATAATTTGATACTACGGGGTCTTTAAGAGATGATGGAGAGTGATTATTCTGGACTTTGTATGTGAATAGAATAATTTAAGGTCCTGTATACATTCCAAGTGTCCTGAAGTGTAAACACTTGAAGTACAAACAGGTCAGATGTGCAGTTGTATTTGATTAGTATTCAGAGACACAGGCGCAGTCCTCGGCTCGTTCTCTGCCTGACACTGTTTCACTGCAGTGTTACATAAACACTCGCACACATTTACATGAGCTTTCAGCAGCCAATCAGAACTGCAGGCTGGCTGCCATACGAGCAGACAGACTCGACCAGTTTGCGATCAAACTGATTGTTTCTGTCAGTGCCACACCTGCAGCAGCTGCTGCATTCACAGACAGCAGACAGGATTCCCAAACAGACACTCGCATGACCTAAAAACACTTCAATCCTTATTTCATTAGCAAAAAAAAAGTGTTGACTGAGATCCTGCAGTGTTTTCAGCTCCGTGTTTTAATCACGATTCAGTTTAGCCGCTGTGCCGAGAATTAAATAAACATAAACACGAGTAAACACATCTAGAGGAAGATGAATTGCTGGTGTTATTAGCATTCTTACAGCAACCATCCTGCATACATCCCACCTTATGTTCAGTGATACGGAGAAATGCAGTTTTCCAGAGGATGTTTTTTTGGAAAGAAATTCATCTCTGAATTAAAGATCTTTGTAAGAGTTAAATCAGCAGATTCCCAGCAAAACTCCTGATTTTATTCTTTTTGATTAAATAAAATAAGAAAACACAAACACACACACACAGTCTCAGCAACTGTGTTTCCATGGACATGAGTATCTTTTATGAGTTTTTTCCTGTTTTGATCATATCATGAAAATGAGGTTTACTTGAACAGGACCTAGTCTGCTCATTTCCAGCACATTTTTATTCTTGATGTCTCCTAGAGTAGCTTTGCATGATTCATGATAATCCATGATCTCATGCCTTGGCTTGCCATAACCTCACAAAATCTTCTTGTTTTTAATCAACACATTTCAAAGTAAAACCTTTTACTCTGTTTGAAGTTTGCATTTTCACAGTCCAACTGCCACTCCTGAGCAGGTGGGCTGGTGGTGGGCTTAATGTCATTTTTTATCATTTTCATTCAAACCCAACTCATCTCTGACAACTGTGCTGTGCTTTAATTGTCGCTTTAGGCACTGAGTGTCTGCCTTAAAGCTGTTTTTCTTTGTTTATGCAACACATTACTGGGGTTCTCCACCAGTTAGGTGGGTGGTGTTCCGGTCCAAGTGCCTTTGGGCAAGACACTCAAGATGCCCAAAAGAAGTCCCAGTAAAAACAGAAACAACAACAGTTAGAAGTAGAACATGAGAATGACATAAATGTCCCCCTCACATTTGTGTGTTGCTCTTGCCTCACCAATCGACCCATTGCTGTTTGGCTTTTCTTCTTTTTAAAAAGTAGATGTATTCATACTGTGAAACACTTACTATAACTATACATATAAATATGGGGCGGTGATAATAAATGACCCCACAGGAGCTTGAAAGTTACACATGAGGTACTCTGGGTCAGCATATCCAGTACTTCTAGCGTCACTGTTTGTGACCACTGAGTGCTGTTTGTTCAGATTCCTGTGATGATACCAAACAAAGTGTTCACAGTTCTGAATTTAATCATCTGACATTCTTGCGACTGTCAGTCTGGAAGACTTGCTTAACTTTTAAATCAGCAGATTTCCAGTGGAGGTTTAGCGCCGGGTCCTTCAACAGACAAAGGAAACAAAGAACTCTCTACCACTGAAACCTTAAATGGATTTGACTTTGGCTGACCTGTTGGAAAACCGATGTCTTGTGACCCACAACTTGTTTACTTTACCATTTACCAAGTTCAACATTGCATTATAGCATATAACTAGTTTATTACAGGTTCATATGCTGCTTGTGAACACGTAAAATAAGGATAAAAATAAGTGTTCCGGGAGTTTCTTCTCATCAGTTGGATTTCATTTGCGTCAGCATGATTTGAACTCCACATATCAGTGAATAAACAATGTGAACGGGGCTGTATGAGAATGGGAACCACGGCGTCAGCAGCTTTTAGATGAAGTCCGACGGAAACAGCAGCGTCTCTTTAAGAGCAACCTGATAATGGGGTCAGAGAGGAGACAGGACCGTCTGTGCGAGACAATGAATGTATTCATGTGTGAACGTCTGAATGAGACCAACAGAGTTATCACTGTGTTTACTGTCTCCCTGCTGCAATGGCTTCTGGGTAAAAGATACGACACACACACACTTGTATTTACGTCTTTGTGAGGACCCGAACTGACCGTCTCTGTCTTCACTGTCTCAAACATCCATTGTTTTCCATCTTAAACTGAGATGGCGAGCAGCTCAGTTATGTTCACGTATGTTTCATGTGCTTTCAGAGGCATTAAGTGATTCAAGGCATCACTGGTGACCTAACCAAATGTTTTTTGGGGGAAAAAAAAGTTTTTCTAGGAAAAAGAAAATTTAGCCAATTTTTTTTCAGCTGCCTAAAAACCTGATATACAGTTTGAGACCAAATCACACAGGAAATAAAATTGTTGAACATTCAAGTCTCAAAAACACATGAACAAAAAAAACCCCACCTTCAGAAAACGTCCCCACTTAACAGAAATCTAATCTAAAGACACGGAAGCAACTTCTAAGAACAGCGTGATGACGTAATTGTCCTTCGTTACACATTTAAGATAAGAACTTGAAAAAGGTCCCCACTTTAAAAGAAAGTCTCTTCACTTTTTGAATTGTTCACGCTTTTTGTAGTAGTGTCCCCATTCTGCAAAAATGTCCTTATAGTCTTCAGATATAATAAATTGACATCCATGTATGCCCATTTTTCAAAAAGCTTCCTTCTCTCAAAAAACTGCCACAAATTTTCCCCCAGATTCATAATAATGTCCCACATTTGCCAACAATGAGTCCACACTTGGCTTGCCTCAAAATGTCCTAATCTTCTGAAAATGTCCCTGCTTCACATATCCATGTCCCAGTTTTCCACACACACACACGTCAGGTGGGGGCATCTAATTGACATAATGCTTTCCCTAGCCCCTAACCATGAAAAATGAGTGCCTAACTTAACACACTGTTTGCTACTATAACTACACATGTTTCTTTTTCAGCTATTTATTTATGAGTGACTTATGTATGTATGTATGTATATATATGTATATATTGTACTATTCTTAGTTAGTGTATTGTCTGTCTTGTCTTAATGTTGGTTTATAATGGAGCACTGTAACAAAAAATAATTTCCCCCAGGGATCAATAAAGTATTCTGATTCTGATTCTGATAACCCTGACCCTTACCCTAACCCTGTCACTAAAGCCACATTTTGAGTCTCAAATTGCCTTCAAACCTGTGGGGACTAGGATTTTTGTCCCCGCAAGTACAGTAAAGTTCCAATTTTTGGTCTTCACAAAGATATAAATACACGCTCACAAACACAGAGTGCATAAAGTCAAGAGAGTGCTGCTTTCTCTGGCTGTTAATATTAGCAGAAACCCACTAAACCACAATGAGATAATACCCGTCACACTCACTCACACACTCACACACACAAATGTGTGATGTAGGAACAGTTTCAGTAATGTCTCATGTTGCAGTCATACAATCACCTAAATCAATATCAAATCGGTTTTTACACATTGACGTCAGTAACAAACAGTCAGCAGAAGGTTCAGAAACATTTTCTGACGCTGAAATCAAAAATACTTGAGTGCAAACCTGCCTTAATCGAACAGTTTAGCAAATTCATATCAAATACCAACCCAGTTTTCATTCTCAGGTACCTGCCCATGTTTCTGCTTTAAACACGACTGCTGGTGGACTTGGTCACATGTCTGGTGTGAATGTTTGTTTCAGGTGAGCAGACTGCCGGTGGAGAGCTGTGAGCAGTACAGCAGCTGCTCAGACTGTCTGGGATCAGGAGACCCTCACTGTGGATGGTGTGTCCTCTTCAACAAGTAAGGAACGAACTGCTCCTGCTCTTCTTCTGCTAAAACAAAATAACAGCTTCGTCTCTCATTTTAAAATGCACCCAGTAACAGTCTGTGCGCTGGTAAAAGCACTGAGAGAAGTAAATAGCATTGATTGTCTCCTTCCAAGCACCTATGAAGGGGTGAGACTTAAATAATGCAGTTAGTGAACAATCAGTTCTTGAAATTGGTGTGTTGGATGCAGAAAAAATGGCTGTGTGAGGATCAGAGCTACTTTGCCGAGGGTTAAATTGTGATGGTTAGATGGCAGGCCTTTACCGCAGTCCGTGGGGTGCAGTAGTTAGTACCTACAAAAGAGGTCCAAGGAAAGAGAACCAGTGAACCATTGACAAGGTCACGGTGGCTGAAAGCTCATTACGTTACTGTAATGTGAACCGTTTAGTGCTTGGTCTGATGAAAGGTGTCGGAACATACAATGCTTTACAGCTTGCTGCATCTGGAGTTGCATACCTGCAGAACGGTCTCTTGAGTAGCCGTCATGACCCTGTGTCTACGGCCTAAAGCGGCTACAGCCGATGGTCCGGTCTCATGAATCACAGTTTCTTTGAGATTCTGTGCACAGCCAGGTGTGTGCTCCGTCTCCTGCTTTCCTCTTTTACACCCACCCCTGCATCTGGTTGCAGCAGATGTTGGAGATCTCTTTCTGTTTTAATTTTTTTCTTCCCAACGTTTGCCAACTAAAGTCAATCGTTGTTCATTGTTGTGAAAAGTGAAGACAGCAGAGGAATGTGATGCTCAGTTTAATGTTATGCTATGAAACATTGCTTCCTGGCATCCATGTAGATGTGATTTCGACATGTATGACCCAAGGGCCAACTGAGAAATTAAGCTAATGCCAAAGTGTCGAAAACTTGAAGTGGCTGCATGAGGCTGTCTCCAAAAGTGAGTCAATCTGCGTTTAGTCCCGCTGCAACAGCATTAACAAGCACATTTAGAGCCTGGTACAAAATACAGTTTAGGACTTTGTGTAGAGTTTGTGTTTTTTCCACTCATTCACCTGGATAACTGACAGACAGGTGACCAACACAAACAGCTGAAGGCCAGTGCTAGACCTCATCCACGACTGTAAGTCACAAAAATAGAGCTCTTCGCTGTATGTTAGATCATTTTTAAAGGCCTAAGTGGCTGATACGATGGTACAGACAATCAAAGACGTTGGTGCATTAGTTTTTGTGAATGAACTTTAAGTAATTGTTTTAATCTCTTGTTTAGCACTAAGGGTCAGATTTACTAACACACCAAACCGGTGCAAACTGGGTTTTGGTCTGAAAAACGTTTGCATTATACTTTTCACTTTTCAAGTCAATAACTGTTTTTCCTTTTATCTTATGGTGTGATCTCCCCAATCTTCAGCAGCTGTATTTAGTAATATATTTAGTAGTATCTAAGTGACATGATGCACCCCGCCAATCTACAGATATCTCAGAAATGATTTGGTGAACATGGCAGAGTTTTAGGTGTTAGGTGGTCTTAGCCAAAACATCTATGAGATGTGGTGTAAAAACAATCCACAGAGATGCTTTTGCTACTTCCAGGACTCAAAGCATGTAAGATCTTAGTGTCTGATACCACAGGACACCTTCAGATGTCTGTGAAGTCAGTCTTTTGAATGGTAGGAAATTATTTTCAGTGCCATTAATGAGACCAGCGCAGGTTTTAATGTTGTGGCTGATGAGGTCAAATGAAGATCTTGACTCTTTAGACATTTTAAGTTATTTTATTAAAGCAAGCAAAAGAAAAAACTTTAATTATTTGCTCTACAAAATCCTTGGAATATCTCAATTTCTTTGGGTCCAAAAACCTTCAAACATTAATTTTGCATCCAAACTCAAAAGCAGCAGTTTTTTTTCTTTTGTGACGCCAGCGTCCGCAAACATTTCATGCTGTTTTGTTCTATTTGTTCTAAAAGAATTTAAACTATTAATTGATTTTTTTTGGTAACTGATTAAGTTAAAGCAAATGGCAGTGAATCAACTACAGTAACCACTTCCTCTTCAATACATAAGAATACAGAGAAAGTGTGTGTGTGTGTGTGTGTGTGTGTGTGTGTGTGTGTGTGTGTGTGTGTGTGTAGTGTTGTGGATAGTTTTGTGTTGTGTGTGCGCATGCTCCCATGAGGCATCATTAATGCTTCTATAAATGGTTCACACCCTCATCACGATGTTTGATGTTCAGCATCCAAGCAGGTGGAGGAAGTTCCTCTTTGGATTGTCATCAGTTAGCTCCCCCTTCAAAGTAAAAGCCTCTGACTGGCAGTGAACTACAGAGAACAAAACACAGCTTGTTTTTATGCTGAAGCTTCTAGATATGTTGCAGCAGGACATCTTTGTGCGTAAACCCATCTCCCAGTGTGACATGAAGACATGTCGCCCTCACTTTTATAGTTTTAAGTTTCTTTCTAAAATCTCTGACTGTTCAGACAAGAGAAGGTCTGAGTGGATGAGAAAAATATCTGAGCAACTTTAATAAGCTAGCTCAATGGGAAGTCTCCTTTTTGAACCTTTTTTACCCCGAGTTTTGCTTCCAAGGCCAGGTACAGGCTCCACTACTTTAAAGAGTGATGTCTGGTGTCTGGTTCGCAGTGTGAAAGGAAAAGAGCAGAAAAGCAAACTGTGACTTATTTAGTTCATCAAACGGATGATTTTAACTGTAAATGTACAATCTTTGTGGTCCTCTCTGCTTTTCATCTCCTCTCCTCCTCACGCTCCCTCACTCATTCTGTCCATCTGTTGTTAATTAGAAGTAAACAGATCATTACTGCAGGCTGCTGTCTATGCTGTGTGGCGCTGCATATGTTGGAGCTGCTGCTCTCTGCAGACACCAAGCTTCACCTCCGACTGTTTCCTGCTCCAACTCCACCTGAAATCCCACGACACCAGTGTCACTCACCACTCACTTTAATTTTATTAGTGAAATTCAACAAATAGAAAAGATGTTTTCCATCTTCTTTTTTTTTTAGTTTGACAGATCCTGTCGTCCACCAGTGTATTCCTCTGTCACCTGATTTTAGGTTAATAGTCACAACCCTTTTAAAAATATAGAGAGTGAACTAAATGTAATAATAATAAATTAACAACAAAGAGAAATAAAAATAAAAATAAATGTCATAAAGAAGTTAGATATAAAAAAAAGTTTATATCTAAAAATGTGATATAAAAAACTTAGAAGAGTTAAAGTAAATAATCATTGCATGAAATTTAAATAAGTTTTAAAATTGTGCGTTTAAAGTCAAAGTAAAATGTTTTTAGAATCATGAAGTTTTATTTATAAATTACATCACATTTACACACAAAAGATGTTAAAGTGCTAAAATATTAAAGATTAATTAATTTAATAAAGTATTTAATTTAATTTAATTTAATTTAAGTAGTCAATTTAATAAAGTACCCCTGGACTGGCAGACCGGGGTGGTGGTCCCCATCTTTAAGAAAGGGGCCGGAGGGTGTGTTCCAACTACAGGGGGATCACACTCCTCAGCCTCCCTGGGAAAGTCTATGCCAGGGTGCTGGAGAAGAGAGTTCGTCCGCTAGTCGAACCTCTGATACAGGAGGAACAATGCGGTTTTCGTCCTGGTCGTGGAACACTGGACCAGCTCTTTATCCTCTCGAGGATACTTGAGGGTGCATGGGAGTTTGCCCAACCAGTCTACATGTGTTTTGTTGTCTTGGAGAAGGCATTCGACCGTGTCCCTCGGGGTGTCCTGTGGGGAGTGCTCCGGGAGTACGGGGTGTTTGGCCCATTGCTACGGGCCATTCGGTCCTTATACAACCGTTGCAAGAGCTTGGTCCGCATAGCCGGCAATAAGTCGGACTCGTTCTGTTGTGGTTCTGTGGTCCTGTTGCCTTCATCAGGTGATGGCCTCCAGCTTGCCTTGGAATGTTTGGCAGCCGAGTGTGAAGCAGCGGGAATGAGAATCAGCACCTCCAAATCTGTGGCCATGGTTCTCAGCCGGAAAAGGGTGGAGTGCCCACTCCGGGTCAGGGACGAGACCCTGCCCCAAGTGGAGGAGTTTAAGTATCTCGGGGTCTTGTTCACGAGTGATGGGAGAAGGGAGCCGGAGATCGACAGACGGATTGGTGCAGCTGCTGCAGTGATGCGGACGCTGTCTGTTGTGGTGAAGAGAGAGCTGAGTGTAAAAGCGAAGCTCTCAATTTAACGGTTGATCTACGTCTCTACCTTCAACTATGGTCACGAGCTGTGGGTAGTGACCGAAAGAACGAGATCGCGGATACAAGCGGCGGAAATGGGTTTCCTCCGAAGGGTGGCTGGCCTCTCCCTTAGAGATAGGGTGAGAAGTTCAGCCATCTGGGAGGGGCTCAGAGTAGAGCCGCTGCTGCTCCACATCGAAAGGAGCCAGATCAGGTGGTTCGGGCATCTGACAAGGATGCTTCCTGGGCGCTGTTTTCTGGTCATGTCCCTCCGGGAGGAGGCCCCGGGGCAGACCCAGGACACGCTGGAGAGATTATATCTCTCAGCTGGCCTGGGAACGCCTTAGGGTTCCCCCGGATAAGCTGGAGGAGGTCGCTGGGGAGAGGGAGGTCTGGGCTTCTCTGCTTCGGCTGCTGCCCCCGCGACCCGACCCCAGATAAAGCGGAAGAAAATGGATGGATGGATAATTTAATAAAGGAAGTTATGAGCTACTAATGTGAATTTTATAAAGTAACTGACAGACAATAAGTTAGATAAGATAAGATAAGATAAGATAACCTTTATTAGTCCCACACGTGGGAAATTTGTTTTGTCACAGCAGGAAGTGGACAGTGCAAAAGTTATGACGCAAAAATTAGAATACAATCAAAATGATTTACATGATCCTCAGAAACACACATTTGCAAACTGGACTTGATCTGAAAGGGCGAATGAGAAGAAAGTATATTTAAAGAATTAAGATCTGAAGATGATTGCTGATGGAAAGCTGCAAAAAAGCGAACTGCTGTAAGGTCCAGTCTGAGGTTCAGAGATACGCTTGTGTCAGTCAACAGCACTAAATAATGTACATGTTTAGTAGATGTTAACCTCAAAAAGCTGATTTGCGTTTCATCACTCGTCCAAGTGGCTTCTTCCGTCAATGTTAATCCCTTGGTTACTTTTCACTCTCCTGCAGGTGTTCCAGACAGGAAGCATGTGACAAGTGGGAGGAGCCTCAGCACTTTAATACACAACTGGACCAGTGCGTCAACATCTCTGTTTCCCCGAGCAGCATGTCAGTCACCTCCCCGGCAATGCAGGTATGAACCATTATTTTCTTAATTACATAAAATACTCTCTGTCAGAATTCCCATTACAATCTGCTGATTTTCCCTGAAAGTCAGTGGATTTATTCTTTAGTCCAGCTGTTTGAACTCCTGTTCATGCAACAGCTGTGAATAGAAACCTTTCTGAAGTGTAAATAAGAACTTTTAGTGATCGAGTGTCTGTTGGTGTCCAGTTAACCATTCAGGTGCAGAACGTCCCTGCGCTGTCTGGTGGGGTTACCTGTGTGTTTGAGGACCTGAGTAATGCACCCGGAGAGGTGCGGGCCAAAGGTCAGGTGATGTGTATGTCACCATCACTGAGGGACCTTCCAGCACAGACACACTCCTTTGGTAAGAAACACACACAAATTCATGCTTCAGTGAATTCAGAGGACATCACCTTTCCTTACTGTCCTGTCGTGTTCTGGAAATTTGACCTTTAACTTGACCCTCACTTTAACCTAACCCTACTTTTCTCTTAACCTTACCTTAATCTAACATCAGCCTAACCCTAAAATTCAGTAGTTTGCCTTTTGGGGACCCAAAAGGTCCCCATTCTGAGATTGTGCTAATGCAAGTCCCCAAACAGCAGAAAAACAAGTATACACACACCCGCTTATTCTGAACTTGTTTCTTTTGCCTTCTCGTTTTTCTCGGTTATCACATTTAATGTGCGATTCTAATGTTTTGTAATCATGTCAGCTTCAGTGTAACGCGCCATTATATTGATCACTATGAACTAAGGATTAAGAAGGATGTTATTATGCTGTTAATTTCAGGAGCGAAACGAGTGGTGCAGCTCAGCCTTCGCTCCACAGAGACTGGACACCAGTTCATCACCACAAACCTCATCTACTACAACTGCTCTGTGCTCAACTCGTAAGCCTTAAACACCTCTAACCTAATTATCTCATGTGTCTCTTCGGTAATGAACTCATAAATTCTTGCTGGTTGTGCTCGACCACTCAGAACTTTGCTCTCTTTCCTCTCTCAGGTGCACTTCCTGTGTCAGCAGTGAGTTTCCGTGTCATTGGTGTAAATATCGTCACATCTGCACCAACAACCTGCAGGACTGCTCCTTCCAGGAGGGACGAGTCAGCAACATGGAGGTAACACACACACACAGACCTGTTTTCATCACTTAACTGGACTTACAACCAAGCGCTCACACTAAAATGTGATTCACCGTATGGGACTTTATGTCCCCCGAAGGAAGGTGAAGGAACATCTTTGGGTCCCCACAATGCTTCACATAGCTGCCTGGCATGTTTCGACACTAACATAAGGCAGAGAGGATGATAAGTAGACGTAATATTACTGTGATTATTAGAACAGAAAAGGTCCAGGTTTCTAAAGACCTTTTTGTGTGCTAAATACCAAGACAAGGATCAATGACACAAGCCTACTGTGCCCAGATCTGAACAATCACAAGGAGATTGGATGGTTGGCCTGAGTCGTTTACATGTTGAAAATTAAATAAAATGAACATAAATAATCTACAACAATGTACAAAGACAAGCAACAGCAAATAAATAAAAACCTGCTTCTGAATGGCTATGAACAGATGGAAAGGCGTCATAAAGAGACACAAATTAAATACAATGAGGCGCAAAAGCCCTACAAACAATCTGGCATGAGTACAAAGCGACATAAAACAACTGTAAGAAGACACAAAACAACATATAACTATGAGCAAGTCACAACAAACTCAAACTTCAGTTCTGCTGTCAGTATGGCGTCTCTGTAGGAGGAAGTGAGGCCGTCGTCTCAAAAGTCATCAAAGATGCTTATCGATGTGTAAGACGAGACCTCTTTTCCAACCTATTCATAATTGAACACATCATACAGGCGTCGAACTCCAGGCCTTGAGGGCCGGTGTCCTGCAGGCTTTAGATGTGTCCTTGATCCAACACAGCTGATTTAAATGGCTGAATGACCTCCTCAACATGTCTTGAAGTTCTCCAGAAGCTGGTGATGAACTAATCATTTGATTCAGCTGTGTTGACCCAGGGTGAGATCTGAAACCTGCAGGACACCAGCCCTCGAGGCCTGGAGTTTGAGTAATAGGCAAATTTCTAGAATTTTCCATCCCAAACCTCTAAAACTTTATTTATACTTTTGTGTTAACCTTATGTAAGACTTCATGTTTATGCTAGTAGCCGACACGATTGCCACCAGTTACTCCAGTGCAGGACTGTTCTGAGATTTTTCAAAAACATGTTGGCAGTGGCAGTTTTTGCTCTTCAGGATGACTTTACTGTTCGATTAGAAGTACACATAGAAGAGGGCTGGGTCAGTACAATATATATACAGTAGTAGGTGCACTTGAGGTTTAGAGTATGGAATAATGTGCGGTGTAAGGTTTCAGATGGGTTTCCAGTTACGACATACTTACAGTGTGGACTATTGCAGAGCTATAAGTCCTCTATAAGCATAACCTCTGCTGCTTCAAATGGACGTTCCCTTTATCTTATGGTGATCCTAATGGTTAACTCGAACTCTAACCACTCAATTTCTGTGCCTAACTCTCACTGTGTAGAGTTTCAGGCCATGTGTTGGTTTTTGTTTTTTTGATTGACCCATTTGCCTTTAATTCACGAGGCCAAGACACAACATGGAAGACGTCCATCTCCCCCAAGTCCCAAGGAACCACAAGAACCACTTGTCAAAGTTAATATACGTTTCATTGATCAAGAGATGGGGAAAAAAGCAGGATTTGAACCTGCCGCCCATGGTGAGCCAAGGCCAAACTGCAAACAAATGTATCACAACCAAGATAACCAAAAAAAACACATCCTTCATAACAGGATCTGTTCTTCTTCAACTGGACCTCAAATCTCGGGTTCCTGTTTTCTCGTTAGCCTCTGGCTCCATCATTGCATTTGAAGACACTGGACCTAAATAAAGGTAATTAGTGAGATATTTCCACTTGCCTAGCTCTCAGGTGGGCACCGGTGACCGGGTGGATGTGAGGAGGTTAATAGCACAACAGCAATGATTAATTGTGACCATTTTGTGACCTTAATTAACAGTAAAAATAAAACCATCCCAGTGGAAGTCGTTGTTTCATGCTGGCCACCCTCACGGCAGGTGTCTTTTTTTCTTTTAGAGGAAGAACGTTATCCTCACTGAAGTCTTCTCTCTGCTAGACGTGAAACACGAAACACATGAAACCCACAATAGTGTTTCTTGTCTGAGTCGCGGACTCTCGCTCGCTGCTGTCAGACTCTTCTCTCTGACTCATTTTCTCTGACACTTTCCCACTCTGTCTTTCAGAGCTCGTCGTCTGTGACGGCTCTAATTCTTGGCTCTCTGACGGATTTTGCCAGAGGTGCAGTGCTGCCAGAGTTCACTGGAACGAGGATCTGCCTCCTTTTTTCATAGAAAATTGGTTAATTAGACTGGGTGCCTTTTCTTTTAAAAAAAGGTGTGTCCATTTAGCTGAACAAATTATCACTAAATAGCAGGAAAAACACAATCCACCTTTATATTTTGTGTCAGGCAAGAAAATCTTGATAACAATTTGATCTTGCAAAGTTGCCAAGAGTTTAAAAGGTGCTGTTAGTCCTTTTCCTCGTTTAGTCTGCACATTAAAATAATAAAAAAAAAACTAAAGTAAGCTACTTATTGGCTAAGTAGGCTAAAGATGAAAGGCCTTTTTTGATCAGCTGAAACAGTAACAGTTAATTAGACTTGAGTTGTTTTAATCTTTTGAGCTACGAAGAAAGGAGAATCAGAGAAACATGCACTGATGGAGAGTAGCGGGATGGGAGGGGCATGTAGCGGCTGATGAAGCTGGTCAGACAGGCTTGAAGGACAGATGATCGATTCATGAAGTCGGTCTAATATTAGATCATTTGGTCGGTTATAGTTGACTGACGCTTGTAAACCTGCCGCTGTAGGACGGATGACTCCATAACCTTCAAAATGAGTTATAGCTCAAACTCACACGAGCTGGTGCATTTTTGTTGAGCTTCATTGCTTAAACAAATAACACAACACCTCTGGATTTCCCATCTGTTCTTTCAGTGAACCAAAAAAGAGGTTTTCTCACACCTAGTCATCTTCAAATGTTAATAGATATATTCCTCTAGTATCTATTAGTCTTCAGCCATTTCTTCATTAATTTATAGTTCGGTGTACTGGGTATTTATAGAGACCTGTTAGCTGACAGTGTGTCTAAATCAGACAGTTTCTTCTACAGGATGGAGCAGTGATGGAGGTCAGAGCTGCTCCCTCTGTCATTACATGGTTCAGTAAACAACAGTAAAGCTTCAGGTCAACAGTGAAGGGTGGAAGCACACACACACATACACACACACCATGTTTAAGTCTGTCCTTGCTGATGCATTCAAGGACTCTGTGACTGATGGGATTTAAGAGTCGGCTCCTGAGAGGTGTTTTCAGTCAGACGAGCTAAGCTCGAATGTTGTTTAAACTCGGATGTTTCTCCATTTTCTGATCTAAGTGCTGAAGTTTTTCAAGCATGTGAGGCATGTGGAAAAGTCAACAAAACCAGGAAGCAGCACAACGTTCATACTGCATGCTTTCTCTATCGTCTTGTTTTCTCAGCTTTTTTTAAGAACACATTTTTATTGAGCCAGAAGAAACACAAGACGTGTTCACAAAATAATGAATTTGCAGAAACCGGACAAAACAGTATCTCAGAAAACAAAAACTGACAAACCTGCTGCAGATATCAGTTAAAGGGATTTGACCCAATTAGTCAACGCGTGAAAATAAAACGACGAATGTTTTTGATTTAAAAACAAAAACCAACAACATATTTGGATTTTCTCTACAGTCACAGTGTCATCTGCATGAGTCAGACACCTGCTTCAAAGAAACACAACTTAGTCGTAACATCAACAACTCCATAGTTTAAGGTCTTGTTAAATATAACAGGAAGTTTATTTTACACATTATACGTGTGCAGAAGCAACATAAAGCAGGGATATGCTTTAGGTTTCCCAACCACTGTGCCACGGCACGCTGTTCAGGTGTGCCGTGGAAGATTATCTGCTTTCACCTGATTGGTAATCTAAGCAGCGGTCCCCATCCCCGGGCCACGGACCGGAGTCGTTTGGTACCGGGCCGCAAGAGTTGACGCTCGGGTGTGAAATTTATGGTTTTTATCAGTTTCTATCATCGACCGCTGGTCTGAGCGACTGCGTGAGTAACTTGCAGAGTTACATTCTCTTCCACTAGAGGGCAGTACAACTTCCTGCTCCAGTTAAATTGGTTGCCAACTGCCAGTAAATCAGAAGACGAACAAATTACATAGTCATCTGACAACACAGCGCATAATGGCAATAGATAAATATTTGAAAAGAAAAAGTAGTCAGTCTGACCTGGTCCTGGAGAAAATCCCGACCCAGATGAAAGCCCTGGCATGAGTACTGGTCAGAAGAAAGCAAACATGGTAAACTGTGGACAAAGTGAGCCAATTCTGCTACATCTGATTATCAATATGCTTTTTGTGGGATTTTTGTTTGGTGGTGTGCCGTGTGATTTTTCTAATGTGCCGTAGCTCCAAAAGGTTAGGAAACACTGCTTCAGGGAGATCTCATCGTTGATAATAGTTTGGACACAGAAGATGTGAAGGACCACTGGTTTATTTTTATGAGATGACCAGATGTTAACAGCTAAAGATGAGGAAATGAATGTGTGTTTTCTGAGATTAGTGCTGCCAGTGGTAGAAGGTGGGATTTTTCTGTGAGACAGAGTAAGAAAAGGCAGCGCTGAGCAAGTACTGGGACCAGAAGTTGTCCAATCAGTAGTAGGCAGTAGTAAGAAAATAAGCACATAGGAGAAGGGCACACACTCTGTCATGGCTTCAGTAATGACAGTGACCTCCTTAAAAGTCAGAGACAATGCCGTTGGATTAGCAGACTGTGGTGGTCCTTTTTTTAAGAAAGAGATCTGAGGATGTGTCCCAACTTCAGCGGCATCATAGTCCTCCATTGATCAAACTGACGATTGGATACAGGAGTAGTTGTGGGACACTGGGCAAGTCCTTTATCCTCTGGCAAAGGTGTTTCTGGCATGTGATGCCACATCTCGTAGGTAAGGTGCTTAGTGCATGTCAAACTGGGAGGAGGGCAGACCC